TGCTATTATAAGGACACATGCACACGAATGTTCATTGAAGCACTGTTTACAACAGCAAAAACTTGCAACCAACCCAAATGCCCATCAATGACAGACTGGACAGGGAAAATGTGGCACATATACACCATGGAATACAATGAAGCCATAAAAAACAATGAGTTCATGTCCTTTGTAGGGACATGGATGAACCTGGAAACCATCATTCTCAGCAAACTGACACAAGAAGAGAAAATCAAACACCACATCTTCTCACTCATAGGCGGGTGTTGAGCAATGAGAACACATGGACACAGGGAGGAGAGCATCACACACTGAGGTCTGCTGGGGGGAGCTAGGGGAGGAACATTGGGGGGTGGGGAATTGGTGAAGGATAACATGGGGCGAAATGCCAGATATAGGCGATGGGGAGGAAGGCAGCAAACCACATTGCCAGTTATGTACCTATACAACAATCCTGTATGTTCTTCACATGTACCCCAAAACCTAAAAAGCAACATAATATTAAAATGAAAAAAAAAAAAAACAGCAAGTCTCTGCCTCTGCCTTGCAAATGGGCACCAAATACGGCTGCAGAAAGAACTTGCTTATTTGCAAGAACTTCCAGCAACAGGAGGCAGGAGCTGCCAAAATTTAAGGTTTGCCTTCCTACTGCCCTCCGAAATTGGTCTTGAGTACTTCTAACGGGCTCTAACTCATTTTCATAAAAAAAAAAAAGTGATAGCAGCAGAGGAGTTTGAGAAATGTTGACTTGGTTTTATAATCTCTCCAAGCAAAAAAATAAAATAAAATATGGAAAAGAGATCCAGTTCAGAAAAACACATATTAAAATCAATTCTTTCTTGTAAGTCCCTTCAGTCATACTTTGGGGAGGGATGGGGTCACAGTAGATGCAACTTAGTGAAAAAGCCAAAGTAGAGATGATGAATTTAAATGACTTGGGTAGAATATAGCTCAGACACTTGTGAATATCTGCAAGTTATGTGCCTTCTATGTGCCCGTGTTTCCACATTTTATAGCAGTATCCGGTCCTCCTCATAGAATGATTATGAAAATCATATTAGACATAAATTTAAAATACTTCATAAATATTGATACAGACATGGGGCAGGAAAATACTGGGGAGGTTCCCGACAAGGGCCACACCCTCAAACCTGGGACTGCCACCCAAAGTAAGAACATGCATTCCTGTTTTCCCACTCGAATGTTGCTTTTTGGCCTGCTCTGCACCCCATCCTGCACACTTAAAAACTCCAGGCTCCTCTGACAGAGGGGCAGAAGAGGGGCGGCAGAGCAGCGGAGGAGAGAAAAGAAAAGGCAGCTGGATGTCAGAGAGAAGCAGCTTGACTTCAGAGGAACGGCTTAACAGCAGGACTTTGGAGAAGTGCTTCTTCGGCAAGGAACAAACTCAGTAAAATCCTCCGGATTCACCACGCTTCAATTTCTTCATGCAACCTGATTCTCCCTGGACACTGGACAAGAACTAGGGTGCCAAAAGGGCAGGTGCAAAAGACTGTCAACCCTGACCTTCCACTGAGCTGTTAATTAAACCATCCTTGGACAACAAAGCTAAAAGGTACACAGTAACATGCACCCTCTGGGATGCAGGGAGTTGCCAATACCCCCCTAGATGCTGCCACAGAGCCGCACAGAGTTCTACTCCAGCTGGTACCCAGGAACAGTCATCCTGGTTCCTGCACCTGCTCATTCACCTGCATGCTTCCCATCCTGTCAGGGGTTGACAGCTGTGGGCTGACTAAACGAGATAACCCAAGGGAGCTATTCCATTTCAATATCAGGTACTAAGCAATTAAAAGAAGATATACTCAGTAGGAATTATCAAGGGAAAATTAAATAACATTATTTCAGTTGCTGTTAGAGCTTTAGTGCTAAATACATTTTATTTTATTCTAATTTTTGTAAAATAGTAATTTTTTAATAGAGTCTGTAAATTATTATAATATCTCATTTCACAGCCAACTGGGATTTAATGTACTGGAAACATTAGATCAAGTCAAACCCCTCTATTTGTGGTAACATGTCTTATTGTAGTGTAGATTCCATAGATCCTATAAGAGACATTGTTCTAATAAATAAAGCTATATTTGAATTTGTTTTGTGCCATTTATATGTCTATTTTTAAAGAGTCTCAAGGGCTTCCTATATTTATGTTGGAAGGCTTTTCAAATCTTGTAATTTTTGTGATCCTGTGTAAATATGATGCTTAGTTGATTTTCCAGTTGGCCAAGTCTTTGTGAAGTAGAATTTAAGCCCTGAACAGTAAAGAATAAAAGCTTCTAGTTCAGTGAGCCCCATTATAACAGAAAAAGAGTTGCAGGGAATTACTTCTCACTTTGTGTTGTCATTTAGATTGAAAAAGCATAAACTCATAATTATGTAGTATGATTTACTATTTTAATTGAGCTCCAGTTGCCAGTATGATAAGATGACCTTACAAACAGTATAACACTGGGCCCTAAAAATCAATAAATATAATAAATTTTTTTTACTGCCACTTCCTTCCTACTTGCCAATTCAATTGCTTTGTACCTTCTGTTTTTTATGAAAGTTCTACAATTCATTTTACTACCTGTCAAAAGTGAAATGTCTTTTTTTTTTTTTTTTTACTGAGGAGATATAGTTGTTTGATATTTCAATTCTTTTTGCTGATTTTATTTTTCATTGTTTTGTTTCTAAGATACTCACATATTTATCTAGCCTTCTAGGCCCCCAAATTTAGAGTGAAATATTATACAATGGTAGAGAATGAGAACTAACAAAGTGATTAGTAAAGACTATTAGGATTTCTACACTGTTGATTTTGTCATTTTCACATTATGGGACAAGTCTTATGAAACCTCAGTATGAATCCTTTGAGAGAGTAAAAGGAGGATAATGGATTTTATTCCCTTTTCCTGTGAATCAGGAGCACCTTTCTAGGCACAATCATACAAATTCTATTTACCAGACAGAGGACTTTGGACACCCTTGTTTCCAGATTTTTCTCATGAAGTACGTCTCTGTCTCACACCCAATGCATCCACAAGCTTGCAATGTCTTGCATGCTGGAGAATCCTCAAATTGGCTTCAATTATTTATTAGAACAATGTCTAATAAATAATTATCCTCAAATATCCTCAAATAATTATACTCAAATTATCCTGAAATAATACTTATCCTCAAATATGGCTTTATTTATTAGAACAATGTCTCTTACAGGATCTATGGAATCTACACTACAATAAGACATGATACCATAAGACTTATCCCATAATGTGAAAAGTGACAAAATCAACAGTGTACAAATGCTAATAGCATTTACTAATCACTTATCCTCAAAACACTTTGTGACCACTCATTGGGGAGCAAGGAGCAAACCAGAGAGAACTAAGGCTGTCCCAGTGCATGTCCCCTAGTAATATCAGGGTAACAACTGTTGCCTGTCCTCTCTGGGAGTTTCCAAGTACTTTTACTACTGGGCATTTCCAACTTTGCCTTGTATCAGGAACACAAGTGCTAGAAAGAAGTATTTTTCTTCTGCACAGATCAAGAAATGAAATTTTCCCCAGTGTCTAGCAAAAGACTCTAGCTCATTTTACAGCATTGATTTCATAATTCAGTCTTTCTACAAAGTTGTTTGCTGTAATAGATGTTAGAAAACACTCATAGTCTTGGAGAAAGAGAAGTGACTTTGACTATACAATGAGGGTCATTACATGAAAGGAAGAATGATGGAGACTTGTGAAAAATTTAGGGTCCATCTTCTGAGCTGAGTGTAGTGTATGACTAAGGCATTGTAGATACATGATCCATTCACTACTTGCTTATTATACCAGACTGAATTCTTTTCCTTTGCTGTGTACCATGTAATCAAAAATATAAATGGCAATTGTCAAGTCAACACTTTTGTCATCTGTTTATTGATTCAATCGGCTTTCATATATGGCTGTGCATTGTCATTTATAATCTCAATTGATGAGACTCAATCCTACAAGGAGTCTTTATAAAGCAGATAAGCATTTAAAGGGAGGGATATAAAGAAGCAGAAATGAGAAAACTGCAGATCTATTTTATGTACCTAGCAATATAATCTCATTCTTTGACATTTTTTAAATATTTTGTTTAAATTTATACTAGTTTTCTTTTAGAGTTGACAGTTTACTCAAGAATCAGAGTAAAGTGTAAGTTTTATAAAAATAAATTGAGTTGCTATGGTCTAAAAACAAGGAGAAAATCTTAACCTTTACCTTTCCTTTACCCTGGGTATCTAAAACATCACTGGATCTTGTATGGTATTAGTCCCCTGCCTTTGAATATCACTGTAAATAATTTTATTTAATTATTTATCTTCACCTAATTGGCACCAAATGTATCGTTTCCTAATGTGCAGTCTTTACTCATTTTCTTCCCCTTACAGTTTGTCTTAACACGTTGTCACTAGGTCCTTGTTCTTAAAACTCAGAGCAGACCTTGACCTTCCATGTTCAGAAAGCTTCCTTATCTATCTTGTAAAAATTGAATTAATTCTAAATCCCTCAGTTTAAATATAAAAGTTCATCACTTCATCATTCATACTTACCTTTCTGATTTTCTTCAACAACAACACACACACACACACACACACACACACACACACACACACATTCTATGCCCTTTCATCCTCCACATTTGGGCACTTCTTCAAATGACACCATCCCCCTCCACACATTTATCTGAGGAAGGGCCAAGTTCACTTCATATCTTTTCCCAAAACTTCATATATTCAAAATTCTAAATTAATCTCAACCACATACCATCTGCCCAAAGTAATGACTGTATTCATTATGCCATCAGAGTTCTATCAGATTATGAGCTTCTCAAAGATAAAACCTCTACCTTGCTGGATTTTTAATTCTCATATTTAGCATAGAATTCAATGTATTCTAAATAGATGTTGGTGGAAACGATTTTCACTGAATTAATTGACCACATTCCATCATGATTTTTTTCTGGCTTTCTTTTAGGAACATGGAATACCAATCAACATGGGCTATGCTGTGGCCCCACATCACTCAGGGGTCTACCCGGTTCACATTCAGTTGTATGCAGCTTGGAAGAAGGTCTGGGGTATTCAAGTTACCAGCACTGAAGAATATCCACATCTGAAACCTGCCCGGTACAGAAAGGGCTTCATTCACAATAGCATCATGGTGAGCACAGAGGGCCATACATATTAAAGAATGTTAATCCTCACATGAGGAATGAAGACTGAGGGCCTTTTGCTCGAAGGATGCAACCTCAAACCTCTTTTACATGATTGTCAGAAATGCCCAACATACCTCAGTGGTGACTGGTTATACATTAACACGTCTTTTGGCTTTAGGCCTTTCCTAAGCTGTGAGTGGCTTTGGCAAGTCTAAAACAAGCTGAAACTAATAGGAATGAGTTTTGTATAGATTATCCACTGTAGTTTCGGTATTAAAATTTTGCCTGAGGATTCTGTACTTTTCCTAGGAAATTTCTCAGTATCTCTTTGGTTGGGTGGTTTTACTGACAGTTTTACAGGAGAGTACGGCTCCATGGATTAAGAAAACGCCTCTCAAGTTTCTATCAACAGACAGAATGTAACAAATAGCATCTGAGAGTTTAATATATCCACTCAGCTTATTTTGGCTTTCAGACATTCAAAAATATCTAAGAATACTGCTCTTTTTCCTTTTTTTCCTTTTTTTTTTTTTTGGTCTTTTCCTTACATACCCCAAAAAGGGAGATACATGTTTTTCTTTTTCCCGTATAGTAATTTAAAAATAATAGGATGTAGAAATCCTATAAAGGAGAATAAAACCAATTGGATTTTAGATGGCAATTTAGAATCATTCACTGGATAGAAAAAAACAAAAAACATTATATTACTCACCTTGAGGTAAAATAGCCTATTTTAAAATATGTGTTCCTACTTCTAGTGACTTAGATTATGTTTTTATTAGTTGCCAAGATCAGAGCACTTATTTACAAACTGTTCTCACTCACCTAAATATTTACACCTTCCTAATTCATTATTCATATTGCTGTTAGAGTCCATCTATCATCTATCTATGATTTATTTTTCTATTTAAGCACTATATGTGGCTAAAACAAATGCACCCACATGTATCTAACCAGAGCTGATACACAGTATTTATTAGTCATGAAGCTTTATTTTATTGTAAATTGGTACCCAAAGATCTCAAGAAGTCTCAGAATTAAGAGAACTTGTTGATAATGCAAATAGTGATATTGATGTCCACAGAAATCTAGGAGGTATGAACAGAATTACTAATTTCAAATCATAGTGAAAATATTCAGATTTCTCTTTACCTTTGCTTTACCCTCTGTATCCAAAACACCGCTAGATCTTGTACAGCATTAATTCCTTGCTTTGAATGAGCATTCAACGTATTTTGAAATAAAATCATTCTTTTTAACAAATATTACAGGCATTTATTTACCTTAAATTTAATATAAACCCTTACAATAATTAAACAAAGATTAAAAGAAAATAAAAACTCAGCTATTAGATGCATTTCTCCATTAAATTAGCAATAGTTTGTTATTCAAAATATGATTTTGTATAAAATTAATTATTTGCTTTCTTTATTAAACATGTGGAAGGAGTTAAGAAAACCAATTGTTTTGAATCCCAAAACTTGAGTACCTATACACTGCAGGACTTAATTTCAGAGCGAAGAGAGTAATAGCCTAATGACATGAGAGATGTAACCTTGGAGAATTTCCATCTTTGAATAAAATTAAGACTTAGATAGCTTTGTGTTTTCCCTAATCATTTAACATAATGCAGGTGGTGGGTTAGATTTATAGAACCAAGTGAAAATTATTTAACCTGTATTCTGTATGCCTTTGATTTGGAAACTCCTTTAATGTTTACGTAATTACACCAATATCAACTTGTGATTACAGTAAGATTTTGACCTTAGCAACCAAGAAAATCCAATAAGAAACTATAGTTTGCATATTCTGAAGTTATGAAATAGAGGTGAATTTCTTGAATAAATCATGCCATGTACTATTTTTCCCCTGTTTTACCTAGGTCCTCCCTCGACAGACTTGTGGGTTGTTCACTCACACTATTTTCTACAAAGAATATCCAGGAGGACCCCAAGAACTGGATAAAAGTATCAGAGGAGGTGAACTTTTTCTCACAATACTTCTAAACCCAGTATGTATTCTATGTATGCATCTTACACTAAGATCAGTGTTTTCAAATGTGTTTTATTTTCCTGTCTTTTAAACTAAAAAAACACTTATTTTCTTTACTTACAGCTTATTTTACTGATTATGCTTTTAAATCTATATTAAAATATGTTTTTGATAAAATTTTACTTTGGGGACTGATTTTACAGTAGATTTGATTACAAAGTCAAGATTTTTACTTTATAATGTGGCCGGTGCAAAGTTTATTTCTAGCAGTAAAAGAGTTGCAATGTTTTCCATTGTTATTTTTTTCAAGTTAGTTCTTTCTCTCAGATTTATGAAGGTATAATTGACAAAGAGAAATTATTTATTTTTGCAGTACACCAAGATGTTTTGTTATATGTAGACATTGTGCAATAATTAAATCAACCTAATTAATATACTATCATCTCTCATTTTTTTTTGTAATGAGGAGGTTTAAAATACTTATTCTCTTAGCAATTTTTAAGTATACAATATGTTACTGTTAACTATTAACTTATTCATCCCATCTAACTGGAAGTTTGTTCCCTTCCACAAACTTTTCCCAAGCCACTGGCATCCTACTCTTTGGATCTATGAGTTCAGCTTTTTAAAATCTCACATACAAGTGTGATTATGAAGTATTTGTCTTTCTGTCCCTGACTTATTCACTTAGCATATGTCTTCCTGGCTCATCTATGTTGTCACAAATGACAAGATTTTCTTCTTTTTTAAGAATGAATAATATTTTATTTTATAAATAGATACATGCATATGCCACATTTTATTTATTAATTCATCTGTCAATTGACACATAGGTTGATTCCAAAATTTGGCTATTGTGAATAATGCTGCAATTTACATGAGGATGAAGATATCTCTTGAACATACTAATTTCATTTCCTTTGGCTATATACCCAGTAAAGGGATTGTAGGATCAAATGCTAGCTTTAAGGTTTCTCTATAGTGTTTTCCATAATAGATGAAGTAATTTGTATTCCCACCAACATGTTCAAATGGTCCCCTTTCTCCACATCCTCGCAAATTTTGTTATCTTTTGTCTTTTTGATAGTAACCATTTTAACAGGTGTGAGGTGATATTTCATTATGGTTTTAATTTGTATTTCCCTGATGATGAATGATGTTAGCATTTTTTCATATATTAAGCCTTTGCAGATATATGGTTTTAAACATTTTCTCCCTTTCCATAGGTTGTCTTTTCACTCTGTTATTTATGTCCTTTACTGTGCAAAAGCTTTTTAGCTTGATGTCATCCCATTTGTCTATTTTGCTTCTGTTGTCTGTGCTTTTGGGTGTATGTAGAAGGAAGGAAGGAAGGAAGGAAGGAAGAAGGAAGGAAGGAAGGAAGGAAGGAAGGAAGGAAGGAAGGAAGGAAGGAAGGGAGGGAAGAAAGACTGATTCCCAGGCCAATGTCAAATTTTTTCCTATACTTCCTTCTAGTAGTTTTTCAGTTTCAGGTCTTTGATGTAAGTCTTTTGTCCATTTTGAGTTGATTTTTAAATATGGTGTGAGATAAAGCCTAATTTTGTTCTCTGTATGTGAATATTTAGTTTTCCCAACACCTGTTTATTGAAGACACTGTTCTTTCCTCATTCTGTGTTCTTGCAACCTTTGGCAACCTTTAGCAAAAATCAATTGACTGTAAGTGCATAGATTTATTTTCTGGGCTATCTACTTTGACTCCATGGTCTTGATGTCACTCTTTATGTCAGCATCTTGCTGCTTTTATTACCATAGCTTTATAGTGTAGTTTAATGTTAGATAGTGTGATGCCTCTAGCTTTCTTCTTCTTTCTCAAGATTGCTTTAACCATTCTGGGTCTTTTGTGGTTCCATAGAAATTTTGGATTTCTTTTTGTTTCTGTGGAAAATGTCATTAATATTTTGATAGAAATTTCATTGCAATAATAGATCACTGTGAGTAATATGGATATTTGAACAATATTAATTCTTCTAATCCATGAACTTGGAATGTTTATTAGTGTCTTGAAATTCTTAAATCAATATTTTGTAGTTTTCAGTAAAGAGGTATTTAACCTCCTTGGTTACATTTATTCCTAAGTATTTTTTTAATGGTATTGTAAATGGGATCATTTTTTAAGTTTCTTTTTCAGATACCTTGTCGGTGTGTAGAAACACTACTGATTTGTGTATGTTGATTTTGTATACATCAACTTTACTGAATTTGTTAGTTCTAACAGTGTTTTCTTCATGGAATATTTAGAGTTTTCTCCAGAAAAGATCATGTCATCTGCAAACAGAAACAATTTAACTTTTTTCTTTTCCAATTTGGATTTTTTTTTTCTTGCCTAGTTTCTCTGGCTAAACTTTTGGTATTACATTGAATAGAAACAGGGTGAACATACTTGTCATGCTCCTAATCTTAGGAGAAAAGCTTTCAACTTCATACCACTAAATATGATATTAGCTGGGAGTTTGTAATATATGGCACTTAATGTGTTGACATGCATTTTCATACCTAATTTGTTGAGCGTTTTATCATGACTGGATGTTGAATTTTGTTACATGCTTTTTCTGCTTCTATTGAGATGATCATATAATTTTTGTCATTTATTCATCCTATTAATATGGTTTATCACACTTACATATTTGCGTATGTTGAACCATTTTTGTATCCTAGGGATATATCTCACTTGATCATGGTGTATTAATGTTTTGATTTTCTATTGAATTTGGTTTGTTAGTATTTCATTGATATTTTTTGTCTCTATGTCAGAAATATTGCCTTGTAATTTTCTTTTCTTATAGAGCCCTTAATTGGCTTTGATATCAGGGTAATGCTAGTCTCATAAAATGAAATGGGAAGTGTGCTCGCCTCTTAAATTTTTTGGAAGAGTTTGAGAATGATTGATTAATTCTCTAAATTTTTTGTAGAATACACCATCGGCACCATTAAGTCCTGAACTTTTCCTTGCTAAGAGATTTAATTACAATTCATTGTCCTTACTCATTATTGCGCTGTTTGGATTTCCTACTTCTTCATGATTCAATCTTGATAGGTTGTATGTTTCCGGGAATTTATCTATTTCTTCGAGGTCAGCCTGTTAGGCATATCATTGTTCATAATAGTTTGTTATCATCCTTAGCATTTCTGTGGTGGTAGCTGTAATATCTTCCCTTTCTTATTTTATTTGGGTTTTCTCTCCTTTTTCCTTAGTCTAGCTAAATGGATGCTAATTTTATTTTACTTTTTAAAAATCCCACTTTTAGTTTTATTGATTTTTTTTCTATTTTTCTAATCTCTATCTTATTTATTTCTGCAATCCTTATTTGTTGGTTTTTTCTGCTGACTTTGGACTTATTTTATTCTTCTTTGACTAGTTCCTTGAGATGTAAAATTAAGTTTTTTATTTGATATCTTTCTTTTTTCTTAATGTAGGCATTTAGTGTTATAAATTTCCCTCTTCAATCTACTTTACAAACCCTTTACAAGACTAGTTGGTAAATTCTAGCACTACTACAAAGAAATTAGACTGCATTTGTAAATAATTTGTTTCTCTTAATAGAAGTCAAGAAACAACAGAATTTTTTTAAGAAGCATGTGTTTAATATAATGATTAAATGTTATATAATATCTCGCTTGGCTTCTATTTTTAATTCTAGTAATGACATATTAATATGTGAAACTCTAGCCCAAAATTAAAATTCATCATGTCGTCAGTGGATCCCATTAGGTCCATAAGGTAAGTTTGCTTCTAGCTGGAGATTTCGGCAGGCACACTTACTTCAGTTTCTAAAAGTGACCACAATGTAAAGCTGAATTGAAGCTATATAGCTTTGTGTTATCTTTGTATACTTGGATAACCTAAAGCTTATTTTTTAAATTCTTGGTATTTTGAGGGGGGGGGCAGATATCAAAGATAGAGAACTTGACCTTTTTGTGTGTGTGTCTTTTCATCTTTAATAGTTTTAATTTTATTTTATGTTACAAATAGATGTATAATGGTATAGCAGTGTGGGAATTCCAACATTATATAATGTTGTGATTATTTCAGCTTTCTAATTTCTTCTCCTTCTCCTGTCATGATTCCATTTCTGAGGTCTTAGGAAAGCATGTCCTCATTTACGTCCCAGTGTATCTAGAAAATATGAAATAGTGGACCTTATGCTATGCCCTCTTTGTTTCATGGAAGAAAGTCTTATACTTGAAGGAAAAGATATACTTTGAACATAGCTATAGCTAAGTTGGCTGTGGTAAAACTCTAAGTGTGTTTGAAATAAATTACTTTAAATAATTTATATATACTATTTTAAATTCCTAAAAAATTAAATCAAACTCACATTGTGTGAAAATGGAAACTTCTAAATTTGTTTGGAAGATAGGGAACTGAGGGCAAAAATGCTTTGTCAGATTATGAGTAATCAAACTACCTTCCCCTCCAACTGCCTGGCTATTAAAAACAAAACAAAACAAAATGTCGTTGGGCAGTATGGCAGCACACTTGGAACAGGAGCTCGAATTCTCTATGGTCTTTAGCAAGAATCTTCCTTTCTCAGAACTTACTTGTACTTCTGAATAACAAACTAGTTGAATTAATCCTCAATGTACCTCAAAGATATTCCTACCAAACCTATATCTGAGGTATTTCAATTTTTTGTGTATATTTCAAAATTTACACCTTTTGCGTGTGTTTCTAAAAAGCATCAAGAATATTCTAAACATAATTTTATAAAATTGAGATATAAATATTAATGAAAGCAAATGTGGAAACCTCTCTCTTCATTCCTTTCCTTACTACGAATTTAATTTCAGCAGAGTCATTGTATCATTTTCATTCTAGGGCTACATTCCTGACACATATCTGCCCTAGTCATCTCCTTAGGGTAAGTCAATAATTTTCAGAACACTGATCATGGAGTCCCCTAAACCTCTTGCCCAGGTGTGATTGTTACTGGTGTTCATAACTTGAATTTTGCCTCTTTGTTAATAAAGACAAAGATTATGCATCTGTTTTTAACTATT